CAGTTTGACGACAGGGGAGAGAGACGCAACTACAAAATAGACATTGTGAGTCTGAAGCGGGTGTCTGTGAAGACTGTGATTGGATACTGGAATGACTCACACGGTCTCCACATTTTCCCAGAGGGCGGCAAAGAGACATCAGACGTCGAGGACCAGAGTGACGTTTTCAAGGAGAAGCCGGTCGAGGTCGTCACCATCGAGGTCAGCAGAACAGTAGAAGTCAATCAAGTTCATCCAAGCTAATCCTACTTGCTCTCTGAGCATCTCGCTTGGCTCAGCTTTATATTGCATGTTTCATTTGTTAAAGCAAAAATACGCTTTTCAAACATGAAAAAAATTAAAGCATAAGTATTTTACTCGGAAAAATTTCTGGCAAACAGATAAAACATAGGTTGTCCAAGTGCGCTCTAAAGTCAAAATTGTTAGTAATTTGTCAAATATGATGGGAAATGAGTAAGTTTTAACATAGTTTGTATTTAATTGCTCAGGCTCCCCCGTTCACCATGCTGAAAGAAGGCCACTCGCCGGATGAGGGAATCGAGGCATTCGAGGGCTTTTGCGTGGACCTGCTGAGAGAGATAGCAGCCCAGACTAACATGTCCTACAAGATACATTTGGTGCGAGATGGGAAGTACGGGGCATCCATGGCCAATGGGTCCTGGAATGGAATGGTGGGAGAACTCATAGACGGGGTAAATGTCATATCGCTTCATGGCCAAAAAATTGCAACTACGCTCGTTTGTTTTCTGAGCATAAAATTGTACCCTCATCCTATGGCGACAAGCACTGACCAAGTTCACTGTCCAAATTTAACTTACATGTAATGCACCATTTCTATGTCTAGACGGCTGACATAGCCCTGGCCCCTCTTACCATTACGTCCGAGCGACAGAGAGTGGTCGACTTCACGAAGCCCTACATGGACGTGGGGGTCAGCATCATGATGAAACGAAGCACGGCAACTACAAGTAGGCGGAGAAGGGCTTAAAATTTAACTATGACAAAAAAACTTTTTAAAACTATGTTAAATTAGGTTTGAGCTGTTAGCTGACAATGAAGGATTCCCAATCTTAATACCCCTTGTCTTTTAACCCCCTAATTCCTAACCCCATCTCTTTCAGCCCAGATTTGGATAAACCTACTACAACTTAACCTCATTTAATATTATTTCTTAGAATCAAAGTGAAGTTTTTTTCAACTGATTCGGAACCATAGATAGAGGTGGTAAACATCAAAGCTTTAATTGTAAAAAATCTTGCGAACAAAACGAAATAACATGCACGCTGTTAAATGCAATTTCAATTTGAACACAGTTGAACTTGCCAACAAGACTTTGATATGAAACTGAAAACTAATCCGACCGGCAAGATTCAATTTAACGTCCAAAAAAACTACATTTTCCGAATTTGAAGTTAATTTTGAAAATATAAATAGCAACAAAAGAACAATCGGCTGAAATTAAATGAAATATGGACTAAAAATTTGTTGCGATCAGACAGCTAACCTAGTCTACGTTTTCCGAATACCAATCAGTTGAAAATAAATTTTACTTAGTTTCTTAAACCAACTAATAATTGCCATTTTGTTTTGTTGTCGGCATTCAATGCTCTGTCTTAAAGCTTTTCAGTCCTTAGTCCCACTCTAGCGTCCCGTCATAACACCAATCGAGAGTAAACAAACCAGCCGAAGTAAAAACCAACCGAAAGTGTGGTGAGTCAGTCTATAAGCCAGCTGAAAAGTTTCATCAAATGAACGCATTTGCATAATTTTCGCAACTGTTACATAATTGTTACAAAATTATAATATAACACTTACGTAGTTTCAAGGCTGCCGGTTGAAATCATTTATCAAAAAAACTGTTAAACAAAATTTGAATTCGAAACATATGCGCAGAACAAATGAACAAAATATTAGCTTAATTTCGCCATAGCACGAATTTAAATCAATGTTTTTTGTAAACATGCGAAATCTTCTGCATGTTTTGGTTTAGGATCCGATATTTTTTGATTTGTAAATTTGTGCTCACTCGAATTGTTATAGAAATTGAAGTTCTGATCGGAAGCGTCTTTTTGCAAGTTAGCAGTTACTTCCCAGATCCAGATCCTGTCCTGTATATAGAGTGATATATAACACTTGTAAACACAGAGGGTTACGATCTGGCACTGGTCAGAAAAATTATTAAAATAAACTGCGACATATTTCATTTATTTCAAAGATTTCAAAAGAATTTTTGAGTAGTGTGAAAATACGGTTTCGATAGTTTAAATTGATCCAGTGAGATAAGTAACCGTATGTTAGAAAGTTAGTCGGAGACAATAAATTGGCGGTCATCCGAAGGTGACAGACAAACTCCGAAGGTTAAATACCAGTTAGCGCCAGACAGATAAATGAATTAAGTAGCACAACTAGAAATGGAACATGAACTAATTTAGATACTATGACATTTCCCTCCTTGTAAAATTCATGACTCTAATTAAGTTATCCAATGTAATGCTGTTATCAATAAATCAATAGGAATAATAATAAGTTTCAACTAGAGTTTTGTCAATCAACTACTTGTCAATCTCCCTGGACCTCCACATTTCAGAAAGTTTTTTAAGTTTGTTACTCATATTCTTTTTACTCTTTTTCTTCAACTGCTCCCGCCTTGTCCGTCTTTCTAATGTTGTCAATCATGACTGCCCCATCTTAGTCACTGCTGTTCGTTTCCTGTCCGACCGTCTTGAACTAGTTTGGTCGAATGAACTAGCCGAATCTTGGCTTGAATAGGAAACAAGTCGTTGTTTCCGACCCCGCACCCCCCCCCCCCGGTTACTGGCATTTGTTCTGCTTCGCGCTCCGTCTCTTGTGGTTCGATTCCTTCGGTAATTTCTCTCCCCCGGTCATTCTCGATTTCTGTTTCACGTGCCAACGTGTACTCCGTTGCCGTCTCATAATTGCTGGGACGAATTGTGATGGTTTTGGGTTGAACTTGATCCCGTCCCCCACTAGATGTTCCCTGTCCATCTTCTCCACCGTTTGCTCCCCCACTTGTCTGTTTACCAACTAGTTTAGTTGTGCTTAACGGTAAATGGTCCTCCGACTCTGATTCTGAGTCTTCTGCGAATTCCAAATTTTGGAATCGTGATCTCTTCCCCATGGTGCTGTGAAAAGTTCCCTTGGTGCCTTTCGAACTGCCTGGTTGATTGCTACTCGTTAGTAGCTTCCGTTTCAGGTCCCACGGCGTTGGTGGTGCAGTGATTTGTCCTGGCGCCCGTTTTTTCGGAAGTTTTGCTTTCCTGAGTGCTACTCCTGATTTCCTAAGCACCGCACCGTTACTCATTTTAATAGTATGTTCAGTTTGATCAACTACATTGGATTTTAATGGTCTATAACTATTCATATTCCGGTCCCCGGTCTTCTGCATTACGACTGCCCGTGGTATTTCGACTGGATCATTTGATGCTCGTACAATTCCCGGTTCATCATCCTGGTTAGCAGCTTGGTCCTCGGCCAGTTTCAATGGATGTCGCCTGTTTTTCTGATCATACTCTGTGTCAAATCGGGCTCCCCAGTTTGTATCCATGGGCTCTAGTATTGCTTGGGCGTTTGGGTCTCGTTCATCTAAACAGGCAGATTTTGATCGTATTACATTTTCCCAATTTAGATTCCATAATGAAGGCTTTTTAGTCAAGTTTCTGAGAACCGTGTTAGCTTCCCGACTGTGGTGCGCTTCGAACGGTGTTATGTTGAGAGTGACGTTTTTAGCGAATCTTAAAGCCCCGAGGGCTCTTTCAACCATCCGATCCAGGGGTTACGGTTTATCCTCCCGCGCATACGTAAGGACTGAACTCTTGATGTTGCAATCGTGCGTTTGACACATCCTGTTGCCCTGTGATCGTTAACCGGCGAGATGAGAATCTCAATTCCTTGTTTCTGACAGAAGGCCCGAACCTCCTTGGACATAAAGTTTGTTCCTTGGTCAACTCGAATTTGACGCGGAACTCCGTGGGCAATAATGTATCCGACCGGTTCGAATTACAGACCATAGCCGATGGCCAACGAGAAAACCGATCCACCGCCACCAAAACATACTTTTTAGACTCCTTCAAGTAGTTAATGGGCCCCCAAAAATCCAGTTGGACCGACTCATTCGGTTCTTTCGGCTCAGGTATTTTCCCTATATCATTTTTCGAACACATACTTTTCAAGTTCTTACCAGCTAATGTGCATTCCTGGCAATTTCCGGCGATAGTCGCTAAGCTACGGAACATGTACGGGTACCAGATGTCTTTGGCCGCGTCGTACATACTCGATTTCCCGTGGTGATAGTAATGCAACCGATTGTTCACCGCCGCTTGCAGGCTGTTAGGGATCACTAGCCTCTCGTCCATCCATAGGCATCCGTCTCCTACATGAAAGTCCTGAGTATACTGTGCATATTACTAACTCATCGCTGCATTTTTTGAGTGTAACTGAGGGTATTTACTTTTAATCAGTTCGATAATAGCTTGTAATTGTGGATCGGAACTATATGGTGATTCTATAAATCGAAGATTAAACAATTCGGGAAGGGCGGTTTGTTTGCTTACAACTTTGCAATTTCTAGGAATTACGGACATAACTCTATTTTCTGGATTAACCGGTGGATAATTTTCGCCAGGGTAAACCGACGGAATGGAAATGATGGTGTTTGTTTTAGTGCTCCGGACTTCTGTTGTAATCGCCTGCATATCCTGATCAATCTCCTCTATTTCATCGCTTCTACTAATGCTGGGGTGTCGTTCCAATAGTTTCCTATTTTTCTGTCCATAATTGAATTATTTTTAGAATTTTGAATGATTGTATTTAAAGAACTTAAGTAACCAAAGTTAGCTTCAATAAAAGTCCCAACTAAATTTCCACTAGATTTAATTGACCTGCCGGAAATGCAATTCGTCGCTCTGTGATTGGTCCAATTTTCACCGCATGATCGTTCGCCCTCCACCGGTTGTTTTCTATTCGATATATTACAAACGCGTTTATTATTAATAACCGGTGGAGACTCGAGTCTATTTTTGGATAAAGCTTCCTTTTCAAATCCGAGGGCGGATCTAATTATACTAATTTTCGCCACTGTAAACATACTATCATAGGTGCTAACCGGTTGAGCATCCAAGCTGGGATGCCTCGATAGGTAATCGGCGAGTCCAGTTTTTGCTCCGGTTTTGTGCTCTACTTGAAAATCGAACGGTATTAGACGATCTAACCATCTGGTTAATCTGCTGAACATTGTTTTGTTCTTTTTGTTGTTCCCATTTAGCAATGATACAAGTGCTTTATGGTCTGTAACGATTAAAAATTTTCTCTCCAACACATAGTTTTGGAAATAATCCGCCCCCCCCACACAACTGCAAGCATTTCTAATTCATTCGTTGAGTATTTCTTTTCTGCCTCGTTTAAGTACTGGGATGCGAAAGATATCGGCCTCCAGCCGTCGGAATTTAGTTGCTCAAGAACCGCTCCGAGCCCGTTATGACTCGCGTCGCATACGATTGTTGTGTCACGATGTATATCGAAATGCCGAAGTTCTACTATATTAGCCACCTGTTTTTTTTAGATTTTCGAACGACATTTGACATTCACTGTTCCAAATATTTTCGTTTTTCCTACTTAAAAGAGGGCGTAATGAGGCTGATGATTCCGCGAAGGCTGGAAGGTATTTGTGCAGGCTGTGGATAAAACCCGTAGAGGATTTTAGCTGCGACACCGTTTTTGGTGCCTTTAGCCATTCGATCGGTTCCGTTTTTCGGATTAGTGGTGTTATTCCGGTACAGGTTATTTTATGCCCCAACCATTCACATTCTTTCAGCGCAAATTGGCATTTAGTAAGTTTAAGCGACATATTCTGGCGATCTAACTTCCGCAAGATTCTTTCGACCACCGAGATATGCTCAATCTCCGTGCCTTTGGTGACCACTAAAATGTCATCAATAAAAGCCTGCGCCTGCGGAAACTCCGAAAGGATCGTATCCATCACTCTTTGAAATTCCGCTGGCATTGTTGTAAGGCCGTAGAACCCCGTTTGAAAGCGATACGTGCCCGTTGATTGTCCTCCCACCAGCGAAAAATTGCATTGAACGCTCGTTTCCGGGCTAAGTGGTAATTGACCGTACGCATACGTAAGATCCATGGTAGAGAAATATACATCTCCTGGTTTCCGGTCGCTTATCGTTTGTCCTACCGTATCCATGAGCTCTTCAATATTCGGCATTTGGTATTTATTCTTGTGGACTTGCTTGTTCAACTCCCGGGATTCTAACTCTAATTTTACTGATTCGTCCTTTTTCACCGTTATTACAATCGTAGAAACAAAATACTTGTCCGAACATTCGTTCAGTTTTTCGATGTGTCCTTGTCGTAAAAGTTTATTAATTTCTTTATCGACCTTATCCTGCAATGTGATGGGCACTCTGCGTCCTTTTTGTTGCATCGGCGTTAACGTTTCGAAAAAAATCCGCGTGTACCTTATAATTCTTAATTTTCCCGACTCTGTTAAAAAGGTTGTTAAATTGCTTACTGAAATAAGTCTGCCAGGGGTCTAACGAGTCTTCCTCCTCTGTTGCTTCGGGCCCCGCTTGTTCTCCCTGCACCGACATCACGTTCTCCTTCGGTACCTTCTGCACTATCTGCAATCCAAGATTTGGCATTAGGTCTCTTCCAATGATCGATGGTCTGCTTCCTCCAATCACTCTGATATTCGCGTTTGTCAACCATCCGTTTGTTTCCAACGAGACGTCCATCGTTCCTAGTAGTCGTAAGGGATTGTTTCCGTAATCCCTGAACTCATCGTCCTCCGGTGCTGGTGCCTTTATGTTCACGCCTGCGGTGCCCAATGTCCGTTTCAATTCTCCAATGGTGAATATTCAAGTTGGTGATCCACTATCTATCCAGACATTCGTTTGCTTCCCATTTACTTTGATTGGTAGTCGAGCGCCGGTCACCTTCAATTCCGTCTCGTTCCGAGATTTGATAGCCATTACAACATAGTCTCCTGAGCTATCCGAATCCCATGATCGTTGCTTCTTTGCCGGTGTGTTAACCCAGCCTACGGAATTTTCATGTTGTGGATAAGTATCCTCCGCGTCGCCTATTTCACTAGCTTCCATGTCCTCCTGATTTTGGATTAGTCCCACTGCCGGTCTTCCCCGATTGTTCCGCTTCCCCCGACAAGTTCTCTCGTAATGTCCCGTTTTTCGGCAGAAATTACACGTAGCATTTTTGGCTGGACATTGAGTAAGGTGTTACGGCGTAAAATTGGGTTGATCACAATTATAGCATCTTTTAGAACCGCCCCTCTCATCTCCGCTCGTCCTCTGAACGATCCACGGCCACGCTGTCTATTTTTTCTGTATCCTCCCCGGATTGTTCTCACCGGTTCCGTTTTAATCTGAAACGCTCCAGTTCCACCGGTGGTGCCACTAGTTGTTGCTCCCCCGGTTGCCGATCCGTATGACTTAGCATATTTGTATCCACGTTCATATGACAGTGCAATACGGTACACCTCCTCTGTTGTCTTCGTCGAGCGGCACAACTCATTTTGGGCCTCCCTATTTTTCATGTTTACAATGAACACATCCCGCAAAAATCTGGTCTCCAACGTTCCAAAATTACATCGGGCGGCCAGCCCGCTTAACACTGAATGGAACTGCTCCAAGGATTCTCCTATATGTTGCTTCCGTGCCAATAATTGGAATGTTTCGTACGTTTCGTTCCGTTCCTTTTTGATTTCCGTTTCGATGGTATCTAATACTCGAGAGTACCTGGTTGTAGATAAATCCAGATGTGGTTTCCTCTTATGTAACTTATCTTGTCCTTTCTCCCCCAGACACAAATACAAGTTCGAGATAAGTATTTGCTCCGACGCCAGGCGATTCTTTCCGTCTACCTCCTCCGGTAATGCTGCAACCTGCGCTGCGGTTAACGTACTGGCATAATAAAAATTCTTCGGATTTAGGCCATGTTTTGCCACCATCCCCCATTGAAAACGATTAAACCAAAACTCCCATAGCATTGGTGGCTCTGCGAACGTCGAGGGCCAAAAGGATGTAATTCCCAGTGGGTTTTCCCCCCACTTTGGCCTGCTGTCTGCGCCATGTGAAAATACGGTTTCGATAGTTTAAATTGATCCAGTGAGATAAGTAACCGTATGTTAGAAAGTTAGTCGGAGACAATAAATTGGCGGTCATCCGAAGGTGACAGACAAACTCCGAAGGTTAAATACCAGTTAGCGCCAGACATAAATGAATTAAGTAGCACAACTGAAATGGAACATGAACTAATTTAGATATTATGACAGTAGACACGGGCGTGCCGTGTCAATTTCCTAGACATTTTTGTTACAAAAAAGGTCATTTTTCAAGCTCGAAACAGACAAAGAAATCATTAGAAAATAGGAAAAAATTAGATGTATATATGTATGTGTGTGTGCTTGCGTGTGCTAATGTTAAAGCATGTGTGGTGTGTGCTGCAGGCAGTTTCTCTTTCCTTCGTCCACTGCAGACAGAGATCTGGATGTGCATCGTCTTCTCGTACCTGTCAGTGAGTGTGGTCCTGTTCATAGTGTCCAGAATCAGTCTGGTGGCCTGGATGCCCCCCAGTGAGATAGAGGAGGCTGAGCATGCAGTGGGGGTAGCAGGAGGGGGAGGGGAGTACCAGTTCACGCTGTCCAACTGCTTCTTCCTCATGTTGGGGGCGGTGCTGCAGAGGGGAGAGGACATATGCGACAAGTTAGTCTCTCCTCTCTCTTCAAATAAGTCCAAATATACTATCACATCAGCTCACGGACAACATTTTTCTTCCTGGGATGAGAAGATCGACGTAGGTTTTGACCAAATTCATCGGTGAACATACGGATGTTCTCGCACCGGATTTCCATCCCGAGTCGAGATTTTTCGCCTAATTTGAAGCAAAATTTGAGCGGTTTGAGCAATTTTTCAACAACCGCGACTAATTTTTCGACCGCCGCGACTAATTTTTTGACCGCCGCGACTAAGTTTTCGACAACTGCGACTAATTTTTCGACCGCCGCGACTAATTTTTTGACAGCCACGACTAATTTTTTGACAGCCGCGACTAATTTTTTGACCGTCGCGACCAATTTCAACCGTCGCGACTAACTTTCAACCGTCGCGACTAATGTTTCGACCGCCGCGACTAGCTTTCTTTCGGTCACGCCGGTCGCGGTTAACTTTCCTTTGGTCGCACAATTCGCTGTTAATTTTCCTTGAATCTTCAGCTGTTAAATATTTAGGGGTTTTTGAGCGGGATCGCGACCCGGGATGGATAAAATTGATTATTGTGAAAAAATGTTGTCTTAATAATCCGTTTTTGTTGCAAATTTAGGCACGGAATCGTTTATAGTGTCATTATAATCAATCACTTCTTAGAAACACAATCCATTAAAACACAATATGGATTATAATTTCCTTTATGGATTATAATCTCTATATAATTTGCAAAACTTTCAACAACTTCTGCTGTACTCAAACTCAAAGCCTAGTCGAACGTGGGGGGTGCCATATTCAAGAGGGACCGCGGCTCTTTTTCCTTTCCCCCACCTGCAAGTTCTTTTCCTTTTCCCATCTGAGTAGTTTATCTGTTCACGTTGTCGAATTGTTATAAAACTTGGTATACGGAATAATTAGGCTATGACAAACATATTTGATTTTGGGACGTCAAGTACAAATTGGATCAAGGAAATTGAGAATAGATCAACAAAAAATGAGAAACCAATTTTTTAGAGTCACCTTTTAACTGATGTAACGTGTATTAAGCAATAATCAAAAATTAAGTCTGAATTATATTGCAGTGTGTTTAATTCTTTCAGAGAAGTTTCCAACAAAAATTGATTATAATTCATTGTAATTGATGATAATCAATAAAAATTGATTTTAATGATTTCATAAAAATTAAATTATAATCGATTTTAATCGACTATAATTGATTATTTTTGAATTTCACGCTGACTGACAATGAAAATCCAATATTATCAATTGTTATCCATAAAATTCCAAACAAATTCAAAACGTAGTCCAGCACAAAGTCAAAGACAAAATTGGAAAATTTGTCGAACATAACGTCGAAACAAAGTAAAAAAAAAACTCGAAACATTTTGTCGGTTACAAATTTGAAACATTGTCCAGCTGAAGAAAAAGGCAAAAACCCAAGAACCGAAACACAGAAAAACTGATGGTCAAAAATTGCCTCTTTGCATCATGTCGGTCGAAACAAAGCTGGATTAAGTCGAAGAAAATTGATCACATTCTTAAGTCGTTGTAATCGCTCTGAACACTGCAAGATAGGGTTGAGTAAGTTGAAATTAAGCACGCTTAAGACGAACACATTCGAGCATGCTTTTCTTTTGGTCTGGTCAGTGGAAATAGCTCCTCTGCGATTCGCAGGAACTACATTAGATAGCTCCTCTGCAGTTCGCAGGAACCACATTAGATAGCTCCTCTGCGATTCGCAGGACCCACATTACAAAGCTCCTCTGCGATTCGCAGGAACCACATTAAATAGCTCCTCTGCGATTCGCAGGAACCACATTAGATAGCAGCTCCTCTGCGATTTGCAGGAATCACATTAGATAGTTCTTCTGCGGTTCGCAGGAACCACAATAGACAGCTCCTCTGAGATTTGCAGGAACCACATTAGACAGCAGCTCCTCTGCGATTCGCAGGAACCACATTAGATAGCTCCTCTGCGATTCGCAGAAACCACATTACTTAGCTCCTCTGCGGTTCGCAGGAACCACATTAGATAGCTCTTCTGCGATTCGCAGGAACCACCTTACAAAGCTCCTCTGCGATTCGCAGGAACCACATTACATAGCTCCTCTGCGATTTGCAGGAACAACATTAGATAGCTCCTCTGCGATTCGCATGAACCACATTAGATAGCTCCTCTCCGATTCACAGGAACCACATTAGATAGCAGCTCCTCTGCGATTCGCAGGAACCACATTAGATAGCTCCTCTGCGATTCGGAGGAACCACATTAGATAGCTCCTCTGCGATTCGCAGGAACCGCATTAGATAGCTCCTCTGCGATTCGCTGGAACCACGTTAGATAGCTCCTCTGCGATTCGCAGGAACGACATTAGATAGCTCCTCTGAGATTTGCAGGAGTCACAATAGATGGCTCCTCTGCGACTCGCAGGAACTACATTAGATAGATCCTCTGCGATTCGCAGGAACCACATTAGATAGCTCCTCTGCGATTCGCAGGAACCACATTAGATAGCTCCTCTGAGATTTGCAGGAACCACAATTGATAGCTCCTCTGCGATTCGCAGGGAACCACATTAGATAGCACCTCTGCGATTCGCAGGAACCACATTAGATAGCTCCTCTGCGATTCACAGGAACCACATTAGGTAGCAGCTCCTCTGCGATTTGCAGGAACCACATTACATAGCTCCTCTGCGATTCGCAGCAACCACATTAGATATCTCCTCTCCGATTCGCAGGAACCACATTCGATAGCTCCTCTGCGATTCGCTGGAACCACGTTAGATAGCTCCTCTGCGATTCGCAGGAACCACATTAGATAGCAGCTCCTCTGCGATTCGCAGGAATCACATTAGATAGCTCCTCTGCGATTCGGAGGAACCACATTAGATAGATCCTCTGCGATTCGCAGGAACCGCATTAGATAGCTCCTCTGAGATTTGCAGGAACCACAATTGATAGCTCCTCTGCGATTCGCAGGAACCACATTAGATAGCACCTCTGCGATTCGCAGGAACCACATTAGATAGCTCCTCTGCGATTCACAGGAACCACATTAGATAGCAGCTCCTCTGCGATTTGCAGGAACCACATTACATAGCTCCTCTGCGATTCGCAGCAACCACATTAGATATCTCCTCTCCGATTCGCAGGAACCACATTCGATAGCTCCTCTGCGATTCGCTGGAACCACGTTAGATAGCTCCTCTGCGATTCGCAGGAACCGCATTAGATAGCTCCTCTGCGATTCGCTGGAACCACGTTAGATAGCTCCTCTGCGATTCGCAGGAACGACATTAGATAGCTCCTCTGAGATTTGCAGGAGTCACATTAGATGGCTCATCTGCGATTCGCAGGAACTACATTAGATAGATCCTCTGCGATTCGCAGCAACCACTTTCGATAGCTCCTCTGAGATTTACAGGAACCACATTAGATAGCTCCTCTGCGATTCGCAGCAACCACATTATATACCTCCTCTCCGATTCGCAGGAACCACATTAGATAGCTCCGCTGCGGTTCGCAGGAATCACATTAGGTAGCTCCTCTGCGATTCGCAGGAACCACATTAGATTGCTCCTCTGCGATTCGCAGGAACCACATTAGATAGCTCCTCTGAGATTTGCAGGAACCACATTAGATAGCTCCTCTGCGATTCGCAGGAACCACATTAGATAGCTCCTCCGCGATTCGCAGGAACCACATTAGATAAATCCTCTGCGATTCACAGGAAGCACATTAGATAGCAGCTCCTCTGCGATTTGCAGGAACCACATTACATAGCTCCTCTGCGATTTGCAGCAACCACATTAGATATCTCCTCTCCGATTCGCAGGAACCACATTAGATAGCTCCTCTGCGATTCGCAGGAACCACACTAGATAGCTCCTCTGAGATTTGCAGGAACCACATTAGATAGCTCCTCTGCGACTCGCAGCAACCACATTAGATATCTCCTCTCCGATTCGCAAGAACCACATTAGATAGCTCCTCTGCGATTCGCAGGAACCACATTAGGCAGCTCCTCTGCGATTCGCAGGAACCACATTAGATAGCTCCTCTGCGATTCGCTGGAACCACATTAGATAGCTCCTCTGCGATTCGCAGGAACCACATTAGATAGCTCCTCTGCGATTCGCAGGAACGACATTAGATAGCTCCTCTGAGATTTGCATGAACCACATTAGATAGCTCCTCTGCGATTCGCAGGAACCACATTAGGTAGATTCTCTGCGATTCGCAGCAACCACATTCGATAGCTCCTCTGCGATTCGCCGGAACCACATTAGATAGCTCCTCTGAGATTTGCAGGAACCACATTGGATAGCTCCTCTGCGATTCGCAGCAACCAACACTAAATATCTCCTCTCCGATTCGCAGGAACCACATTAGATAGCTCCTCTGCGATTCACAGGAACCACATTAGATAGCAGCTCCTCTGCGATTCGCAGGAACCACATTAGATAGCTCCTCTGCGATTCGCAGGAACCACATTAGATAGCTCCTCTGCGATTCGCAGGAACCACATTAGATAGCTCCTCTGAGATTTGCAGGAACCACATTAGATAGTTCCTCTGCGATTCGCAGGAACCACATTAGATAGCTCCTCTGCGGTTCACAGGAACCATCTTAGATAGCTCCTCTGCGATTCACAGGAAGCACATTAGATAGCAGCTCCTCTGCGATTTGCAGGAACCACATTACATAGCTCCTCTGAGATTCGCAGCAACCACATTAGATATCTCCTCTCCGATTTGCAGGAACCACATTAGATAGCTCCTCTGCTATTCGCAGGAACCACATTAGATAGCTCCTCTGCGATTCACAGGAACCACATTAGATAGCTCCTGTGCGATTCGCAGGACCGACAATAGATAGCTCCTCTGAGATTTGCAGGACCACATTAGATAATTCTTCTGCGATTCACAGGAACCACATTAGATAGATCCTCTGCGATTCGCAGCGACCACATTAGATAAATCCTCTGCGATTCACAGGAAGCACATTAGATAGCAGCTCCTCTGCGATTTGCAGGAACCACATTACATAGCTCCTCTGCGATTTGCAGCAACCACATTAGATATCTCCTCTCCGATTCGCAGGAACCACATTAGA